AGCTGGGGGGAAAAAATCACTGTTTGCATACAGCTTGAGAGAATGCAAGCCAAACAAGAGATTAATGCACAGGGACGTGGTGTGAATATCATGAAACAGAAGGGGAGGCAGGGAGAGAGGCAGTGAGGGAGGAAAGATACAAATGAATGGGATTAGAGTGACCACAGAAAGATGACTCCCTGATTCAAATGAAATAGAGAAAATCTGTTGTAGGTGGGAAAGCAGAATCAGATTAAGAATCCGATGAATCATACTTGTGTTGAAAGAAACTAGACAGTTGGCTGAACCTGTAGGTGTTTTCTGAAGACCCGTGTCATGTTTACTGGTGCAAATAATCCCTAAAATTATCTCACCAGTAAACATTGCAGTGGCGAGAACAGTTCAAAGCTCTCTGCCCTCATGCTGTGCTTCAGTAAACATGTTGTATTTAGCTGACCTCGGACCTGTTAACTCATTCCTTCACAGGACTGCTGGGAATTATTACACAGTGGGCTACATTTTAGAGGTGGCACAGCAACCAGCGCAAGCAGTGCTCCAAAAGTATTTTTTCTGACCTTGAGATTCTTTTTTGCTTTTGGCGCGGTGCCAAACGCAGGTGGCAGTTTCATTCAAATGAGGGAGCACAAAGCAGGTAGTTGGTATTTTGATGGAAAATGAGTGTTGGGAGTCACACTGAGAATACAGTAGATTTCTCAGCACCATGCCTGTGTCTAGAGCAAAGACACTATGCTGGCAGGTGCACCCGTTTCAGATGTTTTCTGCCCATTATATGGCTATTATCTGTGGTTTTTAGCCTAATAGATATGGGTTTGAAGGAGCCTGCCACACCTGCTATTAGGTTCAGAGGCCATTATCAGCCCATTAAATGGCCGTTTGAATATCCAACACTGTGGAACGTTGCAGTTTTATAAGGTTTCACTTTCCTTACGGTTTGGCTCAAAAACGTTGTGGTTAGGTTTAAAGATATGGTAGCCTACATCAGTTAAAACAACCATCTCTGATTAAAATAAGTCAACGCTGTCTTTTGGTTTCACATGGGACACAAACCCTGCTCTCTTGGTTAAAGGTCCTGTGTTTGTTTGTGTGGTAGGCCCCTTCTAACCCATATCTGTGATGCCTACATCCACTGATAACAGCCATTTGATGCCGTGACAACAGCTGGCACTTTGGTTATTTTGTCAACAAAAGCAAACTAAATATGGCAAATTTCAAGCAATTATGAAACAAGTTCTAAACTTGTAAATACACATTTTTAAATAAATACTTAAACCAATGGCTGTAAATTAAGATAGACAACATGTTTCCACTTTCACCGACTGTACAAAAATGAAGCCAAAATATCCCAAATATAGCTATTGCTATCTTGCGCTGGTGATGTCATTGGACGCCAGAGTCTGTGCAGTGGCAGTCTCCAGGGTTTTAAATTCATGCCCAACCACCTGTCCGACCAGTCACGAAGAGCACCACTGATAGCAAGCACATCGACTGACACACACACATCTGTCAATTATGACATCAAAGCCCCTTTTCATAGCATCAACTAACTAATTAAAACCAAACTTAGTTGGAAAAACAAACACTTGAACATACATTAACCATCAAAAACCATCTTTCAGAGAAATTTATTTGACTTGTACACTGACTTTTTTCATTTGGCTCACATCCCATCTGCTAATATGGAGGGGGCGGGGTTTACAACCTACACTGCAGCGAGCCACCAGGGAGCAATCAGGATGTTTTGGCTTCAATTTTTGGGAGCTGTAATTTCATCCATCTTTAATATACAATCTATGTCTCCAACCAATATATGCATTTCAATTACCTTTAAAATTAATGTTTAGTGTGATTATAGCAGGTGTTACAACACATTCTGTGACCACCTTAAAAGCATACTGATTTAGTATTGTGAGACTCACAATTAAAACACAAACGGGGTTTTAATTGATGCAGCAGAATCATTGTCTTTTTTATTCCAGACATTGTTCATCCTCGACAACACCTGATGCCTACACTACCCACGATGTAACTCAACTTCCAAAGGTTTCAGTCGTGCACCTAATGTAGCACACAGGGATGTACCTGAATCCTAATGTGTTATTTGGGAAAGCATAAGTAATTCCATGGAAACAGTTACTAATTTTACTCCAAGTTGCTCATTATTATTTGAGGCAAAAATAAAAAACATAATTGACATGTTTTTTTTTTTTCTTCAAATCGAGTCATATCATTGTGGATGGCCACAGGTTGAAAATGCCTGTTCAGTTTGCAACACAGGTCTTTGATTTCACTAACTGGAGCCTCTGGCCTGCAGCAGAGGTTTGAGCAGCGGGCTACAAAGGTCTGGTGAGATCACATCTTTTAAACTCCACACCCCCAGATCCTTTTCATTTTCAAACTTGTTGTCTTCATCCCCGACTGAAGCTGACTCATGCGGCTTCACACAGCTCCCTCTGGAGACACAAAAGACTTTATACATTTTTTATATATGCAGTAGTACTGAAAACAGACATGATGTGTAGGTGGAATTCCCCCTTCATTGTATGACTGCAGGAAGTACTTTAAAAGTAGCTTTTACCGTTAAATTATGTTAAAGTTATTCAGGGTCTAAAGGGGTCGCAAGAATGCTATATCCAAGTACCTGACAATATTTGATGCAGGTACAGTAGACTCACATTTCCTCATGGCGAATGTCAGAAACAGTGACCTTTATATTGTTGTGCTTCTAACGACCTTTGGCAGTTCAGCTGGTCAGTTTATATAAAAAGGTGAGAGAGAGGCCAAGTGCCTGACAATATTTGGATGAAGATTTTTATTCCTTGCTACAGTGGAGTCACATTTTCTGATGGTCTGTGTCAGAAATTGTGACTTCCAGGCATGTTCCAGACTTCTCACTTGTAGAAAGTGTGATAACATCCCTGCAGTCACACATTACAATGGTCACAGAACACGGAGTAACAGTCTGCGCTGATCTTTAAATGAATACCAGTGACTCTTAGAGCATCTGTGGCCCACAGCTGCTTTATACTGTATGGAAAGCTTCTCCTTTAGTTCACTAAATCCCTGCAGCCGCCTGAAAGCAGGACATATATGCTGATAATTCTGATTTGAACAGTGCTGCCACACACACCTCTACACACATCAGACGGGTCAGTTATAACTCAACATCCAGATGGCAGATTACCAGGAGGAATCAATCCCCCCCCCCCCCATCACTGGCTCCATTCCAACTATTTTAAAAACAGTTGCATTTCATGTTTTATTCTTAAAATGCACAATGTTAGGGTTTCATATTTACTACAATATGATCCATTTACAATGTGAGATACAGGAGATTTAAGACTCAAATACCAATCCAACCCATTCTCATTCTCAACACATAAAATACTGATGCTTGGTCAGTTGCTCTTAGTGTAACATACCAAGACACCCAGGCACCCTTTAGCATTTTTATAAGACACACTGGATCTTGTCATTATTTGACGCTCTGAACAATGGCTGTAGTGTACAGAGCAAGAAAGTCAGGATGGTGGATAGGTCAATCAAACACAGGACTGTCACCTTGGAGACCACTGTTCGTGACCCGCGTGAAATGTCACGTGACATGTCATTTGACATCTGACGTTGCATTTGTAAGAAATTTAGGCTATTTATTTTAACCCAAACTTCATCTTTTTTTCAAAATCTAACCACTTTTTATGTTGCCTCAACCCAAGGGTACAGAACCTGCGGCTCCGGAGCCATATGCGGCTCTTTAGCCCCTCTCCAGTGGCTCTCTATGGCTTTGAAAAATAAAAAATAAAAAAATAAATAAAAAACAAACACACAAAAAAAAACCCACACACACATGAAAATGAATAACAGTTATTGATTTTTTTTTTCAACATTTCAATTTTTATTCATAATTGTTGTAGGCCTAAAGAAAATTTTACGTTCTCCAATTGTAAAAATGTGTAGTCCATGCACTGAATTAAAAAAAAAAGTTAACATTTCGTCAACTAAAATGTGCGTCACACGTCTATGGCCTAGTACCTTTTCTTCTAAATTTTGCCAAACTTCATCAGCTGTGGCTAGACTTGAGTCTCCCTTGCCAGGCTAGCATTGGATTCCAAATCCATATAAATAAAGGTTTCAGAGGAAAATAAAGAATTTAATAGTGAGTGGACAGATTTGTTTGCTTTCACAACCAATGCTGCAATGTTAAAGTACCAAATAATCATAAATAGCCACTGCAGAGGAGCCATCTCCATATTTTTGAGTGCTCATTTCGACCTATTTTTATTGTTGATAGGATAATTTAGACTTAAAATGCAGTGTTACTGAAGGCTCCAAGCAGATTTGATTTTAATTTTATTTTTTAATTATTTTTTTGTCAACGATGGCTCATTTGATAGTTAAGGTTGCTGATGTCTGTCTTGATCTAAAAAAATGAACCTACATTGGCTTAAGTTTATTTTGCGGAAACTGACATGCTGTCCCTGAATGTCCAAAACTGACGCTATAGGGGTACATAGAGTGTCATAGTTTGATACACAGAACCACTGATCAAGCGCTGTTATTGACGTGTTGAGAGTGAGAATGTGTTGACCAACCACACCAAAAGGAACCACAACAGCTCGTGCACTCGAAGATGCCCACACAGCAGCTGTTAGCTTGCACCGTTAAAATTGAGCCCTGAATGGTGCAACTGTCTTCAGCAAATGGAAGGGTAAAGCTCATAAATAATAAGTCATTATAGCACTTACACTATATGCAGATGATTCCATTCTACCTGACCTGGGTGCTGCATACTGACTCAGTGGTGAGAAAGGCAAAGCAGAGACTGTTTCACCTCAGACGCCTGAGGGAATTGCAGGATTTGAGGAGTTTCTACACCTGCGCCATTGAAAGCGTTCTAACAGGGAACATTACTGCCCGGTACTGAAATAGCACTGGACAGGACTGCAAGGCCCTGCAAAGAGTGGTCATTGCCCCACCCCCAATCAAACACATACTTATTACGATTCCTACTCTATGTAAAATCTTTTTAATGCACAACTGAAGGAACTGGTGGGATTACATTTCACTGGACTTGTACCTTATATGACTACATGTGACAAATAAAACTGATGGATTGATTGATGATTAATTCATTACTTTGAGACAAAAATCCACCAAAACCTTTTTAACATATCATAATACAGTTTTAATTAAATAAAGGGAACAAGCTGCAGCCCTAGGATAGAATAATTATATGGAGGGGTACATGTGGTGTGTGTGGCTACACAACAAAGCTTCCCGTTTTTAAAAATGCATGACACTCTCGAGAGTAAAATTCACATTGATTAAAAGACACCCTGGGGGTGTTGTGGTAAGTGGAGCTCCTCCTCTGCAGGAATGAAAGTTCCCCCTCAGCGGAGACCGAGCCCTCTGCTGATGAGCAGGGAGGGCAGAAAGTCAGTATCAGCCATAGGTTCTGGCTCCACGTCAGCTGGCCATAGTTCTGTTAGGGTGGTAGCAGGAGGGGTTGACTTGAGGGTGAGAAAGGAGTGGGGGCAGCCAAGTGTGTGGTCACAGCTCATAGTCAAACTTGTACTCATTAGCCAGGTAGATCCTGCGGAAGATGAGCGCCGCCAGGGCCAGAGTGAGCACCACAATGAGGACTGCCGAGCCTGCGTGGCTTTCATCCAGAGGCTGGCGAGGAGCCGGGGCGAAGGCTGGCCTGCTGGCTGGATCTCTGCCGTCTCTCTGGCCCTGCTGGCTGTGCTGCTGGGCGCGACGCTGCCGGGGGCTGAGTGGGCGACCAGTGCTTGGGGTCACAGCGGGTTGGGGTCCCTCTATCCCTGTGGCTGGAGATGCCTCAGCCTGCGGTAAAAGATGGCATTGAGACAAAACAAGTCATTAGAGGTGAAACATTTACTTGATTAATCGATTATGCCAACTCCATCTGGCTTCATTTCATTCAGGTTGTGCTACAGCTCAGTCACAGCTCCATTACGGTTCTAAAGTATGGCTGACAAGGGCAAACGCATTACATTTCCATTAGGAGAAACATGCTGCAGCTTCAGAAACGATGTCAGCTCAAAAACACATATGAGAATCCAAAACAAATACAAGAACAGAAACGTGCTGCAAATGAAAAATGTGTGGCAGAAAGCCAAAACCAGTACAATAACAGGAAACATGCAATTACAGAAAAGATGCAAAGTCAACTAAAAATACCACCCAGCAGTTGTATGCCTCCGTGCACCATTTTCTATTACAGTTTACAACCATGTCTGTGAAAACATGGATGCTTCACACACATCTTCCTCCCGGCAGCACGGGAGATCTATACTATCAGCACAGTTTCAAGGTGAACACCCAAGATTAGTGTCACCAATTCAGTATCTGACCAAATGCCCCCCCTTGTGTTCCTGAGATATGACACTGAGTGATGGCCAGAAAAGTGTTTTTGCAGAACAGAATGATGTCATGGTGCAGTTGACCTTTGACCTTTTGGATATAAAATGTCATAATTTTATTATATTAGATATTTGTGTGAGGTTTTGTCACAATAGCTAGAATTCTTTAGTTTTTGACAAAAACATGTTTTGTGAGGTGACACTGACCTTGACCTTTGACCTTCAACCACCAAATTCTAATCAGTTTATTCTTCATTACAAGTGGACGTTAGTGTCAAATTTGGAGAAATTCCCTAAAGGCATTCTTGAGATATTGCATTTATGAACGTAAGACGGATGCACAGTCACACTGACCTTGACCTTTGACCACCAAAATCCTATCAGTTTTTATTGAGTGTGGACGTTCCACCTTGGCGTTTTTGCCAAATTTGAAGATTTTCCCTCACAGTGTTCTTGAGATATAGTATTCACAAGAATGAGACAGACAAACTCACAGTGACCTTGACCTTTGACCACCAAATTCAATCAGCTCATAACAAAGTCCAAGGGGATGTGTGAGAAATGGATATTGCCAGTGCGGAGGCATAAAAAAAATCACACAAATCCATAAAATAAATGCTGCATATTCAGTCAACACCAAAGAGATTAAAAGGAGAAGATACGGCATCATATGATGTCATATCATTGAGGTACAGCACATGCACAGTGGTATCTGGTCAGCACCTACTGAAAGGCTCAAAAGCTGATGCATTAACATAGAACTTGGGGATGACTGATTCGTTTTACAGAGGCTTCCACAGTTGACCTTGAGCTGAAATATATACCACACAAAAAATAACGATATGAATTGAATTATGATTCTGCAGCTATTGAAAAGGTCCTTAATAAAAGACCATAAACAAATACTTTCTGTGTGAAAAACTTAGCAGGCAACATCCATTTGAGTGTACCCAAAAAGTTTTGTCAGGCTGAGGACACCCAAAAAGCATCAGAGCAGACACCTTCCCTTTATTTCAGGTGCCGTCTGCTGTAACCCTCCAACATCACAGCTCCAGTGACATCAATGACATTGCACATGCGTCATACTCCATAGCTCCCATTGGGTCAGAGACCATGTTCCAGCCTTCAATGAATAGACTTGATCAACACAAGCAAGTTCTCTAGGCCTCTAGGTGGGAACGCTTGATGGAACAGCTTGACTGTAGATCCGAAAGAGAGACCAGAGGAGAGTGTGTTTGTTGTTAAAGCAGAAGGAAAAGAGGAGTGAAGAGGTGACATAAAAAGGTATGTATCTTTTTCACATTTAGAGTCTTTTACAGTATTATATAAGAGCAACCAAATTACATACCGCCCCTAGAGGCCTGGAGAATTTGTTTTCATGGTTTGTGTGTTTTTTTGACTTTCCATCATTTGTGTTTTTGCAGCACGTTTGCTGTTAACGTATTTGTCTTGGCTTTCTGCAGCACAGGTTTTTTTGTAGCACGTTTCTATTCTTGTATATGTATTTTCTAAGGGCTGTGCCTGACTTTGTTTTGTCAGTCGAATCAGATTTGGCCGTTAATTATGAATATTTGACATTTCTTTTAAATCGTTTCCATATCAAGTTTATAAGCTCAGCGGGATGTTCAGTGTGACTGCGGCAATGATGTAACATAGTACACTAGATAACAGCACTAAAGATGGATCAGAATGTGCAACAACATTTTTTGCCGTCACCAGATATCAAACAAAAACCAGAGACTGGGTCGTATTAATTATCTGTAAGCTGCATATTCAGCGTTCCAAGCAGAAGGGAGATGATAATATTACGTCAGAGCCGTACGGTGCGCATCGTGAATGCAGCTATATACCAAAGAGTAACGTGACAGTCAAGAGCACTCACTCTGCAACAAAATCTGGGGACCGCGCACTCATTAGCAAAAACCCAACCGAAACAAAACAATAAAAACGGCTGCTTGACTTGAAGCAAATTTGGGTGACTAAGGGGCCTCAGACTGATGATTCAAATGTCCAACTTTTAGGGGGCTCCTACTGGAGCTCCTACTGGAAAAGTTTTGGGCTATCATAGCCTGTGTGCCTTTTGCAGCCAGTGTAGAAACATTTTAGAATGACTGGTTTCAGTTACCACTGACCGAAACCAGTCATTCATAAGGAGCATGAGCTGATGCCTTCAAGCTGAAGTTACAGGTTCCCAAACTGTAAACTGAACAGTACCACTATCCATCAAACTACTTCTAGTGTGAGACAGAGAGGGGAAGGGATATGCAATATTTTAGTGTAGGCCTCTCTGCAATCACTCTTTGCATGGCAATCATTTTGTATTGGACTTTTGTGCAATTACTTTAGGTGGTACATCTGTGTAACACTTGGGTCTTGGGCATTGTGCAATGCTCTTGAGGTGTATGGATCTGGGAGTGATACTGTATGTTAATTGTAGTTTGATTGTACATGTGTGCCAGTGTGTTGCCTGTGCTCTCTCAAATGTCCAAGACAAAATTCTCCTAAGGGAGACAATTAAGGCTAATCTCTCTCTCTCTCTCTCTTACCCGTTTTCCAGCAGACATATACAGTGTATATGAAATGCATTTTCCATCACAGAGTTTATAGAGTTGTTTTGCCAGACATAAAAACACATTTGCAGCTCATTTAGATGTGTGCAACAAACACTACAGGGCTGTTATTTACTTGGTTTAATCCTACCTCTTCTTTTATCTGTAGCCTATTGACTGATAGTAGCACATGTTTATATTAAGCCAATAAAATCTATAAATGCGTATTTTTTCCCCTTGGTTCCAATCCTCTGTCTTCATTAGGCTGACATTTTCTCACCCCAAAGCAAGAGCTTTCACAAAATGATGACAGACCTGTCCACTGAGGGTTGGGAGCTGTGTAGCAGTAAGGTCAACACAACCTTTAGTTGCCTCCTGTGATCACTCATTTTAAATGTCAATCTAGCTAATCACACAGTACAGCTGCTGTCATTAATCTGTATTTATGCTGATTCTGCTGATTCTGTCAGACAATGTCATCTTCATAAAATAATGTTGTGATCATCAGCACAGCCAATAGCTTGCAAATGACTGCAGGTTAAAAGCTAGTACATGAGCAACTATTTGAAAAAAAAAAAAAAAAAAATCACTCATCATCAATCCATATTCCTTCAGCAGAATGAAAACAGAAGAGTTAAGAAAATGCGCATGACAATATTGACATCATGAATCCAGCACTGAGATGCTCTCCTTTTAGGGCTGGGACACATGCTTTGTCTTTACCTCCAGGGAACTGAGAGGTTGAACGCTGAGCTCTTCTCTTGTGGCAAATCTGTGCCAACTGTCAAGGGCACGGAGGGAGGTTGTGGCTGACGTTGCTAAGCGACCATAACCAGCACCATATCATAGTCTGCTGACCAGAAATCCTGAGTTCAGAGCTGATGTTTTTAGTTTTGTGTGTATTCAAATATTGTCCTTTGGACAGATCATAAAGAATCAAAATTTTCTCCATATTTGCCATTGACTAATATTTAAGGATGAAAGGAAGAAATGCCTGTAGGCTGTTATGGGTTGTTCCTCATCACATGACATGTGGTGTGTGCTGCGCTCCAAAAGTGGAAATATGTTTATCTCAGGGTGCAGCTGTTGCACCCTGAAAAACAGGCAACGCTTGTTCGCCGTGAAGCCGTCCTCTCACTTTTGGGCATGCCTGTCTTGTGTCTACATTTTACAACGCTGGATTTGAGGGCACAATAAATGTGGCATGTGTCCGGGCTCTGATGTTACCGCACAGTAATACTAAGTTATCCATCAGCCTGGATCAGCACATCAAAACCTAACCCCATTTTCAGCATACTTAATCTTAGAGTTAGTTAAAGATAACTTTATGATGCTCCTGGTCATTTAAAGTTTTAAAGAGATCAGTGCAGATAGGACGAGTCCTCTCTGGAGGATGGGAGGCTGTGCTGGGGATGACTAACCAATCAGCAGCACTGATAGATTCAGCTTTTACACAGAAAATGTACATTTCACCCAATTAGAGACTGTCTGGAGGGAGCCTGCAGAGACTGTGCAGAGGCTGTACTGTTCTACTACATCCCTCTGTACTGTGAGCAGCAGCAAGGCAGTGTGGGATTCGGGTGGGCCGGACGAGTTTTAACTCTTGTCCCACCAACTTCAGCGGCAGATGGTGAGTCCTATTTTTGACACGGCCCTCCTCAGTTCAAACTCAGAAACAGTAATCTAAGTTGACCCTCCTCTGCTCCTTCAGACTGGTTCTGTGTGTAGCAGCTGGCGCCAAAATCAATCCTCTTAGGCAACAAAGCTTGTCCATATCATCTGAACCGGTGAAAAAAAGCCACACAACCACAGGCTTCAAGCTACCATAGAACACTGATGTTAAGAGAAAGCACTGATATCTAACTGCTTGATTTCACTACAGTTACTCAATACGACCAATACAGCTGCTGGA